GATTGTTTTTTTTGCACCAACGGGATAGCTGTAATACCTCATCCCGATACGCCGACTCATCACCCCCGGAAATAAGTCCTACTAGTGTAGTGACGTCTGCAAATTTGATAATCCTATTACTGGGATGGTTATTGGTGCAATCCGACGAATAAATGGAGAACAGTAGTGGACTGAGGACACAACCTTGTGGAGTGCCAGTGCTGAGTATCTTGTCAGTAGAGATGTAGTCATTCAGTTTAACCCTTTGTGGACGATTTGTTAAAAAATCCAAAATCCACAGACAGATGGAATCTGGAAAATCTAGATCTTTAAGTTTGACTATTAATCTGTGGGGTATAATGGTATTAAAAGCAGAGCTAAAGTCCGCAAACAGCATTCTTACCTAATTCCCTTGTGTTTCCAAGTGGGATAGAACCATATAAAGCACTGTATTAATCACATCTTCAGTTGATCTATTTTCTTTATAAGCAAACTGAAGCCCATCAAAGGAATCAGGAAGGCAGGAGATAATATATTTCCGAACTAACTGCTCAAAGCACTTCATTAAGATTGAAGTTAGTGCCACCGGCCTATAGTCATTCGGACTGTTTGTAGGCAACTTTTTAGGCAGTGGAACGATGCTGGAAGCCTTGAGACAGACAGGAACCACCCTCTCTAATAGGAGCCACAACACACATACCTTGTGGATGGAAGCTAAGTTACTATGGGCATCTGCAAAGGCAGGATTTATTTGGATGGCCCGCGTGTAGCATTGTAACGCTCCCTGAACATCTTGCATCTCTTTTAAGGTGTTCCCCATGTTGGAATAGGCATCAGCAAATGTGGGGCTGATTCTGAGTGACAGAAAAATGGAGAATTAAAAAAAAAATCCATTATCTAGGAAAGAAGAATCTTTTCATGGGCTAATCAGAGTAGTGCATCCCCACCAACATAAACAAAAGCATGCCCTACCTTTCTATCCATTTTCAACATACTTTACTCAAAAAGCAGCCTTCTGAAGAACAGTTTTAACTCTCACCTGATGGCTTCTTTGTAATGCATGAGGGCCTCCTGCAGCTTTCCTTGTTGCTGCAGAACACTTGCTAAATTGGAATGGGCAGCTGCAAACTCTGGGAAAACCTGCAGAAAAAAGTTGTGCTCAATTCTCCAAAGGACACCGATCCTGCCACACTGCAGGGCAGAAGAACTGCCATGGGATTCTCTCCTACAGTTTTGCTCAAATACAACGGCACACAGAAGGCCCGCCTGAGGGAATCCCAACAACAACGTATTGCGCAACGCATCCACTTCCTGTAAAACAATCTACCTTCTTGTTCACCAAAGACATAAACCTACAGATTTTCTTTCCTATCTTGCCACCTCCACCTTACCTTTCTGCTTTCCTGATTGAAAACGGAAGATAATAATTATTCTCATTAATTCATCCCCAAACTGTCACAAGGCATTGTTAAAAGTGTAACATCTTCCGGATGCTTAAGTAAAAGCCAAAAGAATTTCAGGTCTTCCAAGCCAACATCTTTTATTCTCCTTTTAGTTAGAATTTTTAGCTTTTATTTCATTAGGACATCTTAATTTGAAACACAAAAAGACTCAGCCCTGTTTCCCCTGGGCCCAAACATCCAAGGGCTGCACACAAGCATTCCTAAGCATACCTCAAGAGCTTTACGATAGAGGCGGACGGCCTCTTCAATGTTTCCCTGCTCCCGCTTGATGTTTGCTAAATTATTGAGAGAATCTGCATGAGTGGGACAGAGGCGAAGCGCCGTGTTGTAGCATTCCTCAGCTTCAGCAACCTGTAACAGAAGACAAGGTTTTATGGCAATGTTGATAAAAGAATTCTTAAAAATAAATACATTTTTTAACCCCACACAAAACGTCTGTCCTCAGCACTGATTTGTGTGAGTTGCACTCTTTGTCATGGAAAGCCAGCTTCTCCATCAGCTTCGCTTGTACAACCTTTTTTTTTCTCAATAAACCCACTGACAAGCAGCGCTTGAAAGAGCACAGAAAGCAGGGCTGGCTCCTTACACTGCCTTTCTCTTTGAGCGCGTTGGCGAGGTTGCAGTAGGCGTCAGGGAAGTGCGGCTGCAGCTCAATGGCGCGCTTGTAGGTGTCGATCGCCAAGTCGATCAGCCCCTGCTCGTAGTACACGCAGGCCAGGTTGCCATGCACGACTGCGTGGTTTGGACTCAGGCTCAGGGCCCTCAGATAGGCCGCAACAGCTCTGAAACAAGAGGTGCAACGGCTCAGGTTAATCGTCCACGTGGGGCAAAAGAAATCAAAACTTCAATTTCATTATGCATTAAAACTTATCCAGAAAAAAACCCAGGGATTTAATGCTTACAACTGCAACACGTAGATGTACAGTCTCTGCTTTAATAGGATAGGATAGAAAATGACCGTAAGGATGGGAGGAAGTTACACAGACCACCATGGCCTTTACTTGCAAATAAACACACAAACCTGGCAGCCTTCTAAATGTCACAGTGCGATCCTGCCTGGCCAAAATGCTTAAAGGCCAGACGGGCAGAAACCTCAAGCTCTCCCAGTCTAGAGATTGAGAAAATAACTTCCAACTTTCGTCAGCCCGGCCCAGGTTGGCTCCTCACTCACTCCACCCCTTTTGTGGGTCATCTACCAGGAAATTTCTGGGATCAACCAGCAGAAGACAGTTCTGTCATCAAGAAAGGGCTTGTGCTAAATCTGCTCCCTGTAGCCAGATCATCACACTGCGTATTAGCAAGTGCCCTGTTTGTCTTTCAGCAGGCACAGCGAGTGAAGGAGAGTGCAAAAATCACTAGATGGAGAGAGCATTTGATCTGCTTACCTGTCAAATATACGTGCCTCCTTCAAGACGTTTCCCAGATTAATGTAAGCATCCAAGAAGTTTGGATCAAGAGTCACCGCCTTAGGATATTTGAGAGAACATATTCATTTCAATAACCATTTATAAATGTCTGCTTTCTATTAACTGAGAAAGAAATGGCAATTATAAAAGGGGGGGGGAACTCCTGTACCAAAGAGCACTTGGCATTTATTCCTCAAAGCGCATCTCCTGCCTCCTCCCACAATTAAGGGCAGCTAAGAAATGCACGTAAAAGTCTGTGCTACAAATAATGGATAGGATTTAAAGATTTGTCCCCAAAGAGTTTTCAAACTAAAGTCAAACATAGTATTGAGAGTATCTCAAAGAACACTAGTTTCTTAAACAAGAAATTCCATTTGGAATATTCCTTTCAACTATGCCACCTGCCCCTAATCTGGTATCACATGCCTCTTTCCCTATTGACTCTGTCTGGCGGCCTGTGTAATTTCAAAGGATGACACCGCTCAAGCCATTTCAAGCCGGGCCATCATCACTACAAAGACAAACTAGAGTTATTTCATATGCAGAGACATCACTGCTATACAACACACGGGGAAAGCCTCAGGATGCTCTTGGAAGATTTCAGTGCGGCCACGGATACCAAAACTTAAGTTACACTTAAGCCCTGTGGCTTCCCCCTAAATCCACGTTGATTCTCTTGGACATCACGTCTCCCAGGACCAGTGCTCCACGCTTTCTTTGGTGGGCGTGGAAGAGGACTGTTGTGCAGGGTGGCAGCTAACCATCCCCACATACACGCAGAACCAGCGGTGTGTGCCAGTATGTGTCTCAGAGTGTTGGATGGATGGAGACTGAGAAAGTCTGGTTATGTAGGGGAAATGTGAACGGAAGGGGAAGTTGCTTACATCCATGTATATGAAGTAAAGGCAGTTGGGAATTTTTAAAAACAAACAAACCTCTCACCTTTTCAAAGTGATGGATAGCCAGCCAGATTTCTCCCTGAGCATTGAACACACAGCCAAGGTTACTCCATGCAACTGCAAAATTGGGTTGAGTCTCAATCGCCTTCAAATAACAGGCCTTGGAAGGGTCAAAGATAGGTAGATAAAAGGGAGGGGAATATTTGCAGAAAAGAAAAGGGAGAGAACATGTCATTAGTATGCCTTCTCGGACCGGTCAAAAGTGATCCTGCAGTATAGGCTTGCTTGCGCCAAAACTAATGGGCTGTAAACCGCTGGCTGATCCTGCGCCAGCGCTAACCAAAACCCAGGTGCAAATCCACCATTGTCAGTTACACTGAGCTTAGAAAGCAACTCTTCCCAGGAAGTTCCAGATGCAACCGTTTCTCCCTCACAGCAGGCCAGGGCAACCCCTGAACAGAAGGCTCATTTCACATATAGAAAGCACACCTGTGCCCCAATTTGGACAGCAAGCCCCTTAAGGCCTGAAAATGACCAAAATATGCCGCTAGTAAACCCTGGGCCACCTCTCCCAAGCGTACCACAAAGAGTAGGCATTACACCAAGTCATGTATGAGAAAAGGAAAATCCCAGACTAGGGATGGTTTGGTGGCTCCTCTTTTTAACAGTTACCCTATCCTGAGCCACCTTCCCAGGACCCTGCCCCCCTCCCATGCCATGCCTCGACATAACCTTCAGCCTCCAAAACCTCAAATAACAGGTTTGCACGAAGGTTCAGGTCCCTGTAATGCAAGCGCAAGAAGTCGCAGGCGCATCCTAACAGCACGCCGCTGCGCTATCGCTGCAATCTGCTGCCCTTTGTGGAATGCCCCTGGAGACTGTGAACGGCCAACCAGACTGATTAATCTACCAGACGTGCCCATGCGGAACTTTGAGTGTTAAATTTGTCTAAAATCTGAATGCAGTGCAATCCAATCATATCGAAAATCCTATAGCACAGGGCCACCCAGTTAGAGATGAATCATCTAGCCAGCCATTCACAGGGGCTCAATCGCACGCCATGCGCCATTCCGCAGCGCAGCCTTTGCGCTACTGCAGGATCACAGCGCATCATCAGAAGAGCAGAACGCTGCAATCCAAACCAAGAAGAAAAGGAAAAAAATGAACAACCAGAAGAGTTAGAAGCTTTTTAACTATAAAGTATCTCGAATTATTTCTTTTATATCTTAATTTACTTTTACTTTAATTCTTTGAAAGAATTGTGGCTAGGACTATAAAAAAATATTCTCTAACATTACTTGCTTGTACATAGAATACTTATGCTGTTTCTGAAGCCACAAGACAGAAGATTCAGGCATGGAGGCAAATGGTTTTGCTGTGGCAGTTACCAACCCGTTACCATATTTCTCATGTGAGTTTTCGGTGCGTTCCTTGCTGGAAGAGGAGGAGGAGGAGGAGTGTGTCTGCCCTAGATCCAGGCCTCGAGCTCCCTTCAGCGAGGCACCTTACGCATGGAATAGGAGGTTTCACCCACCTGAAACCTTCTAAATACAATATCAATGGTGAAAAACCAAAAACAAGAGAGAAAATAAAACAAGATCATTAGTAAAAAGTTCAACAAAGCAATCGAAAATCTTTGGATATGTCTAACACATGGGGTGGAGGGCAGTTTGTCTGTAACATGGGAGACATGCAGAAGGGAAAGGGTTAATCAGGGCAACTGCAAACAGCAGGGCTTGTTGGAAGAAAGGCTCTGATGTTTCCACAAAGATTAAATTTTACTCCACGTAGCAAATCTTCTGCTGGTTTGTTCTTACAAATGCACTGATAGCCAAAGAAATACATTGCAATTTGTTCCATGTATATAAAAATAAATTTATATATTTATTTCCCCGTGTTTAGTGGAGTTCTCACAAAACAAAACAGAGTAAGGCTTTCAAACTAGGTGTTCTCCAGAGCTCTGAAATAAAGAGGTCAGCAACCTACAGCAAGCGCAGTCTCTTGGCCTACACCAGTCACACTAAAAGCTGCAGTGAAGTGCAATTCATGTTAGCTGTCCACCTGACAGGCTGAGCAGCTTGGGTCTTTCCAAAAAGACATCTCGGTGCCACCTGTGACAATTTAGAGTCGCTATTTCCAACCTGGAATCACGCTGCCCAATTGGTACCCCGAAGCTCTCCACGCCCAGTGCCCGATTCCCCTGAAAGGCCGCCCTCCTGCGGGTGCAGCCATCAGCCAGACAGCTACACTGTTCATACACTCCACTTGGTAGCATGCGCGTGGGGCTGGAAGTGAAGGACGTGCAAGTCCTTCCGGTTCCTCCACACTCCTCACCCCTGCTGCGCCGGTGCGTAAGGTGGCTTGTAACAAGAACATTTCAGGCTTTTGTGCAACCCGTTTCAGGTACGCCAAGAGTTTTACAACCCATCGCGGTGTTCAAATTCTTGGTTAGAAACCAGACTGCTAGAAGCCACCTTTCCCACTGTACTGTCGCAAGTTTTTCTTTGATCAGTTCATTTTCCAAACAAACCAGCCGTGTCACTTGACCATTCGGGCAAAATGGGTCATTTTAAGGAACCAAACAGTAACTAAGGTGGTTTGCTAGCCTTTCTTCCACTAGAAAGAGGGAGGGCGGGGAGGTGGTTAAAGAAGACTATGCGCTTTTTAATTCCATATTCACAGGGTAACATTTGATAAGGTTCTTCTCCACTTACAAGCCACAAAGGACTTTAGAAGAGCACCTGCTTCACTCGGGAACCACGAGCTAAGGCACAGGCTTGGCAGCAGCAGGCAAGCCTCAGTTTGGAAAGACTGCTCTCTCCAGATCAGAGATTGGTGGCGTCCCTGCCAGTCACTTCAACATATCGGATAGTCTAGTTCTGCCGCAAGGCTCAATACTCCACGTCTTATCCTAAAGCACATGTGAACATGCCATGTCTTGCCCTGCAACTACGCTGGGAAATTCAAGGCCTTCAGCTGTCAGCCATTTCTTGGGACTCTTGCAGGTCAACGGAGAACTGGAGACGTGGTACAAGGGTCCACATTTTCAAAAGACTGATGTTTAAAACTCATTCTACAGAACACCTACCTTGGCTTCTTCCAAGCGACCCAGGGCTTTGAGCAGATTCCCCAGGTCACTACGCACACAGTACAAGTCCTGAAAGACAAACAAATGACATTGTTCACAGGGCAGCCTTTCAAAATGTCAAGGGGGGGGGGAGATACAGAGATTATTTGCATTTCCGCCACTTTCTAATATGCTTTTTGCAGGTTTAATCAATGGCAGCAATGTGGAAAGTTCTTGTGAAATCAACAATGCCAAGCACTTCAGAGACCAAAGATGTGCCACATATAACTTTCACAGCATTGCCCTATGCTATGTGTGGTGGGGAAGAGAGGTTTGCTTTTCCTGAAGGGGCACCTGGAACAACATGGAAGCAAAGGGGCATGAAAGGAAGATATATAAAAACAGCAGATGTATAATTGGAATCGAAGAGAAGAATCCTTTAGCTTGGAGATGGGCAACATGTAGGTTATGTATCCATTCTGTCAGTCATTATAAGCCACTCCTGTTGGAAAACAGTGATGACAGTCACTGCAGCCACTTACATTCTCTTTGATTCCCTACCCACTACTTTGGAAAAGAAAGCAGATGCTGTTCTGCATTTTTGTAGGCCTCCATGATGTGGGAGGCCTCTCCCGACCCATTTACCGCAAAGGGGCATGACAAAGGTCACCCGATTTTCCTAGTAATAGCACTTATAAATTCTGCATGGGTCACTAGACCCTGGGAGGAAATCCAGCTGTAGTGCAGCACTCTTGCTCACTCACTCTTTTTTGAGTAGGGAAGGTATCCCGTGGCACCCAAGCCTTGGGAAGCCACCCACTCCTGACCCAGATGTGGAAAATAAAGTAGCCAACTATCCTCTGTACACAGATTTAAATTACCTCTTCAAAGAATCAGGAAAACAGTGTACAAAAGCAAACAGACCAAATAGCTGATAGTGTATGGCGATTGGCAAATCTACAGCCCAAGACTTAAGGCCCATGCAAAGGAGAAGGCACAGAAATACTTTATACTGCAGAACGATAAAAAGGGATTTTATGTCACCAAAGGCCAGTAAATCTAAGAGCAAATTGTCTCGGAAATTCCACTTCTACTTTTGAAAGACCAGAGGCATCCCAAGGCAGTGTTGGACTTACAGGATTGTACTGCAGGGCCGAGACATATGCCTGCACTGCCCCTTCCATATCCCCTGCAGCTACTAAAGCAGCAGCAAGATTAATGTATCCATCAATGAAGTCTGGCTTGAGGCGCAGGGCATGCCGATAATGTTCAATTGCCTCCTGCAGTTGCCCACGTTCCTTGTATACGTTCCCCAGATTGGAGTAGGCTTCTGCCAACAACGGATTCTGCTTGATCGCCAAAGTGCTGAAGTGAGCAGACCTAAGGAAGATGCAAGAACATTTGACGGTTGCTTTGTTAAGGTTGGGTTTGCCACACCTGCCATAAACAAGTTATAAGAACTGAACAAAGCAAGTTTCTTAAAATGTGCTGCTAGCAGATCAAATGAGCTATTATTCTTGAATCCTCAATCCATCCTATTTATATGCAGCCAGAAAGAGATAAACATAAAATTTATACAAGACAAGAAATTATTATTGGACTGATCCTGTTTAAGCAGAGGGGAAGTGATACATGTCGTGGTCTCCATTCATTCATCACACATCTTTGAGACTCCCAAACGGTTCCATCAGCAACTCAGGAATATTCTCCATTAGGTTTAGGAATTTACACCACTCTGCTCTCCACACAAGCCAGCTGCATTTGCATGTTTCTTGCACAAACCTTTTAAATATTGGAACAACAGTAAAACTACCAATGTAAATGGTAAAACTATCTCAGCAACTGCTCTTTCTGAGGCAGAGCCTTAAGCATAGGATAAGAACACCCAGTGGCTTACCTGTCCAGCCTGCGACACTGGAAGTGAATTGATGAGAGCAACAGGAGCACACCGGTGTTGTCAGGCTCCTGTCGCCAAAGTTGCATGCAGTGTCTCTCAGCTGCTTCGAAGTCCCCTGCTTGATACTCCCGGTGAGCCAACTCCGCTAGCCCTTGGAAGGAAAGCATACGTTTCGTTGGTTCTGAAGAGCCACCAAAACATTTAGGGGGGGAAAACAAAAAGTTAGAAAATGGGAACAAAAACTGACAAACGATGGTGTACAACTTAAAAGATGAAATGCTTAAGATATTGTAAAAAGAAATCCAGGGATAATCAGGTGTTTAAACACAAACAGAGTCCTATATCACAAAAATACCAACATTTCTAGCAGAAATTCACTACTTTTAACCATGAATTAAGGTAACTTGGTCAGGCTTGAAAAATCTTCCACTCACTACTCAAGATTCTTTACACGCAATAGATTCAAACTTCCCTAGAAAACAAGAGACTTGGAACAACAGTATCTGCAAATCTATCTGGGGAATTTCCACAGCAAGCACTACCTTAACACAGCTCTATTATTTTCTAAAGAACCTAAAAAAAATACAAGGCCCAGTCTGTTGGATAAACTAAGGGTAACTGAAGTCCCAACGTGTATTCCAGATTCAACTGAAGGAATGCAGCAAATTACACGTTTTCATGCACTGAAGGCATATAAAAACAGACTGCCACATAGAACGTTTCCTAGGCAGGTTCAAATGGCCATTCTTGTGGAATCATGCCACTTACACCTTTAGCCAAAGCCTCACTGAAAATGAAGTAAGGGGCCCAAGACCAGTCCTATGTCATACTCAAAGCAAGAGCAAACTTATCTATTCCTCTTTACCCAACCCTAAGCCCCTTCAGTGATTAGTCTGCCATCTGCACAATTTCCCACATGAGACTAAATTCAGTGCTGCTGATCAAAGCAGTGACCTTTCCTTAAGCCAAGCATCCCACCTACTCCCAGCAGCCAGAGGAACAGACACTAAAGAAAGAAGATGCAACAGGAAAACCAGCTGAGAGCCAACCCAGAGACTTCTGCTATGGAGAAAGAGAAAGAAAGAAGCAGCACCACAACTGCTGGTGGCAAAGAGAAGCCAAGAAGAAACTGAGCCCCCAAGAACATGTGTTATTCTTGGAAAACTAAGAACAGCGGGGCGGGGGGGGGCAGCAGGATAAGTGCCAAGAAGAGACGCATAGCCAGGGCAGTATAGAGGTTAGTACGTTAGATTAGAACCAGGGAGATTACAGTTCAAATCCCCACTCAGCCACCAAACTAACTGGATGAGCATGGGCCAGAAATTCTTCGTCAGCTTAATCTCTCTCAAAGGCTTCTTGGAAAGGACACAAGGGGTGTCATAAGTAGCCACATGCTTTGAGTCACCTCCTCCAACCAACACCCATTACAACTCCCATCAGCCCCAACTAAAATAGCCCATGAGGAAGTTCCAAGTCCCAAACAGCTGGAGGGCACCAAGTTGGGAAGCCTCATGGAACATTAACTGTTGAGGAGCCAATCCACGTGACTAAATGGCTACCCATTCTTTTCAAAGATGTCTGTTTCAGTCTTTTTCCATGCACCCAAGTGGTACTGGTGAGAAGTTGCAGCCTGCAAACAGTTTCTTAAGAGGGAGGTAAGCAAGGAAGAGTTCCGATCTCTGCCTCAGTCCTTGCGGTCCAGGCTTGCTCAACAAGTTTTCTGTAACTTTCCTTCCAAGCAAATAATTTACTTTAAGATTGGGAAAGTATCTCCAGGCACCAAGTTAGCTTTAACATCTGAAACCTTTTTGTTGTTCAACCCCTATTATTTACCCATCACCTAGAGTGGTCTTAATTGACTAGATAGGTGGGATATAAATAAAATCAATGATTGATATCTGAACGGTCAGTGACCCATGAGAGGAGCTGGGACCTCAGAGCTGCTTTGTACCTTCACAAAGCTGCACAAAACAAAGATGAAATTTAACATGATGTTTTCCCCACTTCAGCTGTTCTGCTTTAGAATTTTTTCCTTTCCTTCAAAATGAGTCAATGACAGACATTCTCATTTTACAGATAGATTACTGGAGCACTGGGCACATTGAAGCCCACAAGAATGATGTTTTATGACAATTTTGATATAAAAAGTTGTATAAAGCAGGGGTCCCCAACCTTTTTTCACCCGCAGACCAGCTGGGGAAGACAGGGCACTCGTGCGCATGTGCAAACAGCAGCACAGTGCTCACATGGACGCGCTGGATTGCGCACGCAGGTGAAAACAGGCCACACGGGGGTGAGTGTGTGCGGGGTGAGGGCTGGAGGTCTGTCTTCGCAGCCCGGTCTGGCTCAGGCCACGGACCGGCACCGGGCTGCAGAACGGGGGGTGGGGACAGGAGAGGGCCTTCTCTGTCACTGCTCCCAGACCTTGGAACTTCTTCCCACTAGAGGCCAGACCAGCCCCATCTTTGCTGTCTTTCTGCACACAGGAAAAGACCTTTCTCTTCAGGCATGCCTTCCCTCAGTAACTAGCTACCTGTGTGTGATTTTTAGATAGTTGAACATTGACTGGATTTTTAATACTACTTGTGTTTTCCTTTTCTGTATTTTCCATTTCTCTGCATAGCACTTTTTTTTTAAAAAAAAATGTGTATACTTGTTTTTGGCTTTAAATATTGTCCCTTAATGATGTTAGTCACCATTGTATACTCATTGTTTTCAGCTTTAAATATTGTCTTTCAATGCTGTAAGCCACCTTGGCTCCTTATCAAGGAGAAAGGTGGGGTGAAAATATTTTAGTTAGTTATCTGCATTACCTTCCCTTATAGGAGCTGGGGGGAAGCACAGTTATTGGCAATAGCTGCCTTCACACTACCACACGAGCTTCATTTAAAGCAAAGAGGCCAACTGTGGCTCTCGAGATCCTGCTGAATTACAACAACCTGCTCGTCCCTTCTTGGCTCTCCTCATTAGGACTGCCTGAACTGCACTGCAACACAGTCTAGAGAGAACCAATATTGCCAGGGCCATATCAAAGAAAATCTATTGATCACATCACATGGCTTACACGTAATATCATTGCTAAGCATGCTAAAATGTGTTTTGTAAAATATTCTTGCTATTTTAGTTTTTGAAGAAATTTCTATATTCTTACTACTCTAGTGCAAGATCATCTTAGAGCTCTGATAGGAACTCACAGGACAGGGGTTTGGACATACAGCCTTGGCAGAAGAAAAGGAATAATAGAGGTACTTGGAGCTCCATGCTGTGAGGCGCACAGCCTGGTGGTCTGTTTCAAATAGCCCACAGCTCCCACTCAGCCTTGCACCAGAACAGATGATTAAATTCAGTATATTCATATTAGATGCATGTTGGAAAAATACCAATAAAACATGAGCAACTTTAGGAAGGAGCCAGGCCTGACGATTGTGAGATGTGAAGTCTGTCTCAGAGCTCTCTCATCTGCTTATCTATAGGCCACATGCTGTGCTGAAATGGCCCCAGGCCCCACCCTCAGCAGCACACACTGCTGAGCAGGACACACAAGATAACAGCTGCTGCCCTGTATACCTGCCAACAGGCAGTTAGGTATCAACATCTGAACATGGTTTAACCCCTTTCATTCAGAAAATTACGTTAAAAGGCAGAGGCCCCAATGTACTTCCAGCTGCTGAACTGTCTTATTAATATACACGTATTGGGCCAAAGTATTTCCCACCTAGAGAGAATTATTGTTTCTCGTGAACCAAACTGTGTCAACTGGTTCCATCAACAGCAACCTGCAGATTAGTGGAAAAACACTACCTTGAGGAATTCTGGTTTTCTTTCCTATTTGTACAATCACTGAATATGTCCCCATCTAAGATGTTAGATAAAATAAGCAATACCGGAATTAACTCTTGTCTCCAAGCATCCTTTACAGGTGTGGCTCTCAGTCAGATGTGTGTATGCTAGAGCTGCTTGAAACAGCTACTTGACATTCACTTAACTCTTCCAGCAAGTATGATGTGTTCTCTCCTACCAACTATCCATCTAAAACTGGTGGTTCATGGCTATCAATAGTTTTGGATGTTCCCACCTAAATCTAATTTAACCTCCCCCATCCCCATTGACTCAGTGAGCCTCTTTCCCTCTGAACATACACCACCTCAGGTGTTTTCTATGCTCCCCACCTCCCAGAGAGCATCACCGATGTGCTACTTCCGGCCAGAGATTATCCACTGTGCTACTGCCCCTCCCTTCATTTACAACGTAAACAATGCCTGCCAGCCCATAAGCAAAAGTGGGCTTGCTTCTATCATGGGGAGATACAGGTTCTTTGATTACAATAATTGGATATAAAATACAAAAGGCTGTGCACCACTGATATATGTGATAGCCTGTCCAAGCATAACATGCACCCCCTTTTTATCTGACTGCTCGTCCCCCTCACTATCAGATGCCTGCCCAGTTGCAACAACACTGCATTTTCATACCACTCAGCACCTCCTACCGGGGACATTTTCACCTGTAAATTAGGACTTGTAATTTGTACAGTACTTCAACTTTCCTACAATTTCTTTTACACCTGTTGGAAAACCTCTAGAAGCACAAGCAAATTATCCCCTCTGCTTCAGAGATTTCTAGAGACTCCAGTAGCATCTCCCATAACTGCTTTAAAACACTTGCAGCACTTTAAAAGGCTTTTAAAGCCTTTTAAAGTGGCCTTTATGTGTAGAAAACTATCTGAAATTGCTGGTTTCCTTTGTTCATCTTCTAAGGACAAAGACACACAGGCTTGTTCAGTTGTGGAGAATCAAATTTTCTGGTTTTACTAGAATCTCAAAATCCACCAACTGGCACACAGTGCAAAAGCCATATACTGAATAATTAAACTACAGTATTCTGAGCCCAGGAATGTATAATGGGTAGCATAACTGAACAGAGCTCATAATCCTTCCACATAAAAATAAAATGCTGTTAGCTTATTCCTAGGGTGATTGAGGGTCTTTCTTACCACTAAACTATGAAGACTAAGAAATTCACATTACTGTGTTGCAAATACCATGGAATATCTACCAGTAGATCCAGACCTGCATTCTCTTTCTTACCATGTCAGAGTGATTTCACTGATTCTCTTATTGTTCCTTAGCCCTCAACAAAGCAGTGAATAACTAACCTGAAATGGGCCTTTAACGGGCAAAAGATTCAGCCCTATCAAGTCAGACAGTGGACTCTTCTACTCTAGCATTAAGACTTCTTGTTTAAACTGGAAATGTCAGGGAACAAGTGTGAAACCTGCTCTACCCAAAGCATGTGGGCCTTAGTGCACACCTCACCAAAATGCCTTGGGCTGAGTCTAGGGATGTGGAAGACAGGAGGGCCTGGCGTGCTCTGGTCCATGGGGTCACCAAGAGTCGGCCACGACGTAAGGATGAAACAACAAAGTCTAGGGATAATGTTTCTGGATCATGCTCAGGACATCAGCTGGAGTTTCCTTTCCCCAATATTTTAGCACCAAAATTTATTTTTCTCCTACGTCGCCGAGTGAAAAACACGAGGAGATTTATGCCTGAAACCCTCTCATGGATTTCCCCTTAGCCTGTTGAACAAATAAGTAATGGGATCGGTGTGAAGAGACAGTTCTCTTCCTGAGAAGCAGTTTTGTGGACTGGATAGTTTTGTGGACTGGATGCCGTGCAGCGGCTGCCCTCCCTTTCCCGAGGGGCTCCAGCTGGCGAACCTCCCTGGCTTCTGGGGGCTGGCATCCTCCGTGGCCCCTCTCCCTCGGGGCTGTGCTTCCCCTCCTGGTCCTTCCTGCCTCAAAGGGCCGAGTGGGCGACGACCCGCCCAGCCAGCCAGCTAGGGAGACCCCCCTCCAAGAACCCCCTTCCCTTCTCTTCCCCCCCACCCCCCCCCCAAAGCTAAGTAAAAAGCAAGGAAAGCGTGGAAGACCCATCAGAAATGCAAAAAAGGTAAGCAAAAAGCAACGAAAGCATGCAAGACCCAGCGGAAATGCAAAAAAAGCAAAACAGAATGCAAGGAAAGCATGCAAGACACATTGGAAATGGCAAAAAAGCTAAGCAAAAAGCAAGGAAAGCATGCAAGACCAATCAGAAATGCAAAAAAGTAAAGTGAAAAGCAAGTGAAGCATGCAAGGCCCATCAGAAGTGCAAAAAAAGGTGAAGCAAAAAGCAACCAAACCCAACAAGACTCATCAGAAATTGGGCAACCGGCAGACCAGGGCTGCCTGGGGGACGATGGGAGTTGTAGTCCGAAACAGGCGCCGTTTCCCAGCTTCCCCCGTCCCTCCCAGACCGGCTTCGCCCCGCCTGGGCCTTCCGAGGAGTCCAGGGGCCGGCGCCCTTCCTTCCTTCCCCTCCTCGGCCTCGCGGGGAGAAGGCGCTCCACAAAAAGAAGAAGAGGCGGCGGCCGCGGCGTGGCTGAGCCCCCGGGCTGTACCTGTGCTGTCGGCTACGTTGCCCACAGAGGCCGCCATGGCTGCTTCTGGTAGTTCGACCGCCGAGCCGGGCCGGACCTTCGCCGTCAGAGTGAGTGCGAGTCAGGCGGCGGCGGCTCTCGAAATGGCGGCTGAGGGGGCGGAGGGAGACCGGCACGGGGCGGAGCGCTGCCGCCGCCGGACCTTCTTCCGGCCGCCCGCCAAATAGTCCCCGAGCTCGCGAGGAAAGAATCCGCTTCCGTCGCGGAGGGAAGACAACCCACAACTCCGTCAGCCGTTGTTGGAGCGCTCCTGCCTCTTTCCCCTCCCCGACACTTTGTGCGGGGGCCGGGGTCTTCACGGGAAAGAGACTGGTTGTAGCCCTCCGCCGCGTAGCCGCCACTGCGACACAGTGGTGCAGCACGCATGCGCCCCCAGGGCACGCGACACGCGCTCGCGCTCTCTTCCCCCTCCCCCGCCTTTTGCAACCCCTC